TCCCTGTGCTTTGCCAAGCATTCAAGTATTGAAGGAAGGTAATAGGTTCGAATAAGGGCGGTCTTACGGTGGATACCTAGGTACTCAGAGACGAAGAAGGGCGTAGTAAGCAACGAAATGCTTCTGGGAGTTGAAAACAGTCATAGATCCGGAGATTCGCCCCATCAGGGGATTCATTCTATGGATTGACTCTGCGTGGATGCACAGGCTTCGATGGGTATGATGGAGTTGGGCAATGTGACCAGCTCCAATCACTGCTTGAGCCTGGCGTCCAAAGTACCCATGTGAGAAGGTTCACCCGATCATGCTTCAACCACGGCTGGGTGGGATATCTGCTTAGCCCTGGTGCCTATAACTGCTGTCCGGTCCAAGTCACCTGGAGGGTGATAGTCCTGATTGATTAACACTGAGGTAGGACAGTGGGAATAGGGGTACGCTGGGAGAATTGACAAGAGGATGGGTAGGAAGGCGGTCTCACAAATAAAAATGGTCAGGACAACCAATGGCTGACTGATGACTGCAACCACTGCATGTCTGGAACCTGGCCTCTACACAACCTGGGCTTTATATATTGTCACAAAGCTATGAAGTTATGAACTAAAAGAGCGCACTTTGCAAAACAAACATTAAACCACCAGTACTTCCTAGAGCCGTGCCCGTTAACGCGCCACGATTTTAGGAAACGTACGGGCTACTACAGGAGCACCCAAAGTCATCTGACTAGAAACGTTTCTCCTCTATTTTAAGCTGGGCCAAGTACTGGTGGTTTAAAGATGAAAAAACAACACAAACATGAGGGGCTAGTCATTTTTCTCATTCTTCTTTTATTCCCCTTTACTGTGCCTCTCACGTACAAGGCTCACCACATTGATGAAGTTGAGAGTGAGCTGGTAGAGGCTGGACGCTAGGCCTCGGGGGGTGCCTGTCGTTGTACTCAACCAGTGGGGAGATCAAATAGATGGCTTGTGACAGCCCCAAGGACAGTCTCCTTCAGGGGGCATCATTCGTGAACTCTTTTTTCTTATCCTAATGAGATTGCAAGTCGAGCCCTACAGGGGTGCGACCCAGACCTGTCTCTAGACCTAGACCTACACCAACCCACGCCTTCCGAGGATCTCAGATGAGTGTCCCCCCCGGGGCGCTACCATAGGGACATCCCAAATTCTCGAGGACGACCCGGACATACGAGGGGTCACGGATGTGGTCATTCCCCACCCGTATGACAGACTCTATGGGTGTCTACGGCCCTTCTACTATCAATGCGACCATCAACCCTCCCCTGCCTAAGATGAAACCTCTACCCAGAGGCCCGTCCCCTGTGGGCCACATTCACGCCCCAATCGACCCCCTCAATGGGAACGCAGACAGGTACCCCCCCAGATGAAGCCCAGCCCGCAAGCATCGTAAAATAGACATGAGGCCCTCCCTGGGGAATCGTATATGCCTAACACCCAACCCTTACTACTACTCAAGAGGGGTGTAGAGAGTGGAGCCAAGACCGGAACCAGGATTGTACAATGTAAGTGTGGAATCTCGCAGGTGTACCATGAGGCTGGAAACTACCACAGTACCCAGACACACCCATGACACGCCCACAGAGTAGTGCATACGAACGAGGTGGTGCACAAACAAACCGACAATCTCTACACAAGCTCCTACCTAACTTCATCTAGACCTAAGACCTCTACCCAACCTACGTCCTCTACCCCGCCCATGGTGAGTACACGAGACATGACACAGAGATCATTGGACCACACACTACACACAACCCACCCACCCACAGACACACAGTCGCCGGAGGGCCAACCACGCAAACAGCATTCCCCCAAGGCCCTGCTACCAGCATACTACAACCATGGCCTAAACCCCTTGGGTGGTGCGCGGCCAGTGTCTGTAATAATTACCTTGCGTCAGCCCAAGGGGGAGTGTGTGAATGGCTTGGGCGGTGTTTTGAACCCGCAACCTCAAACCACAATGCACATTTCCAACCGGTGCTCTAACCACTGAGCCAATGGCTAATAGCAGTCTTTTCTTTTTCTTTTTTCTTTTTTGTCCTTTAGGACAATCGGGACGATACAGTGAAGATTAGCATGGCCTCTGCGCAACGATGACATGCATAAATCAAGAAATGGTCCCCCCCCCCCCCACACACAAAAAAAAGCAGCTTTTTTAACTCCTCCAGACATTTGGTTTCAATTTTTGTGTGTTTTACCTATTTATGGTGTGATAGAATTCGCTAATAGAATACGAACTATTACAAAGTCTAGTGGCCCGATTTCTCGAAGTAAGGCTTAGCCTTCGGCCCTTCTTCTCAAAGGCGCTCATAACTCGAGCTGAAGGCTCCCATGGGCCTTCTTTTCCTCGGGTTTCTTATCAGCTCTTTTTCCAGGATCTCTCACTTCGTGGCCTTCGAACATCCATGAGGGAACCCCATTTCATTTTTTGAATATGAAAATTCATGCACTCACTGCTATTTGTGTTTCACTCTTTATTCGAGCCGGATGAAAACCTGCACAAACAGGACTCCATACTTGATTACTGGACACTATGGAGGCCCCACCCCAGTATCACCTCTGATTCATATGCTGCTAGTGGGAGATTGTCTGTGATTCCGTAGTCCCGTCTCCATTTCCTAACAATACCCGGTTTGTGTCAAAATGAGTAGTGGCCCCCTCCAGGTGCCCCCTGGTGGTCTAGGGTCTGCCTCAGAAGTCCTGCAGTAACCCCTCGTATCCAACCTAAACAGTGGCTGCCCCCCCTTCGGCGCCCCCTAGAGGGAACAGGGAACTTCGCCATGCAATCTTCTTTGTCATAAGGGACACCGGACCCGCTTTCCGGTAGGTGCTGCTCCCCACCAATAGATTGGAGCCAACTGCCAGAGCCCACTCATGGGGGATGCTAGTATCACCTCCACTAGTGGGCCTGGGCGACTGCTAAAAAACAAAAAAAAAATGGGATAACTAGGGGGCAGTCACGATTTCAGTTTAAAATCCACTTCACACATCCCTCAAATACAACACATCCCCACGCGACCCTAAAGCTAGGCTGTATACATTCACGATTTTCCTCGGTGACTGAAACACATTTTCAAACTGAAACCGTGACTGCGCCCTAGTTTTCCCCAAAAAAAGAGTGTCCTTAGTGAGGTTTCCTTGCAAATTGGTATCAGAATGGGTCGGACTCCCTGTTGAGAAGTTACCTACTGTTGATAAAAGTCAGGTGGTCACATTGACCTAGACAGGCAATGTGTGTGAGCGTCTCACGAGAGCCCGTCCGCTAGGAGGAGAAAGAGGACAAGTGGAAGCGTGAACAAAGTGCCTGGCGAGTTGTGAGCGCAGCAAATGGTGACGGTCATTGATAATGGGCCTTGCCGCACCACTCACCAAATGTAGAAAATGAGAATGAATTTTCTGCTGCAATATGGAATGATGCACCACCATAATTTTTGTCTTTTGTGCATTTGGCGAGTAGTGCGGCGAGGCCCAATGTGGTGGGTTTGCATGAAAGCTTCTATAGTTAGTAAACCCCAGTTTTTTTTTTTTTTCTGAGCATTTTGAAGAAAGGGGTCCAAACAAGAGAGTGATAAGGAAGTTGGCCTCTCCCCAGGTGCTAGCGGTGTTTGCCTTTACCAGCACCACTAGCACTGCACTGGTGGGAGTGTTTTGTGAAAAAAGAAAAAAAAGAAAAAAAAAAGGGAAAACTGCTTAAACTACAGAAATACAATCCGATGACAGACTACAAACTTCTGAAACTAGTTTTTTTTTTTTTTTTTTAAAGCTATTTTTTTAAGGAAAAGGCAAGTGACAGCAGACGGGCAGCCCATCCCCAAGATACCTTCTTCACCCGAATAAAAAGTACGGTCATCATAGCCAAATTTTTGCCACATTTTACTCCAGATGCGTCTACAATTACCGTAAGTTTTATTCAGGTGAAGAAAGTAGGTGAGGGCAATCAATACTGCTCCACACATCCATGTATGCAAAAGCTCCTCTTCTGTGTAAAATGGGATGTTGGCCCCCTTTCCAGCTAATGTACACGCAACCAATAAGACCGATGCCGTCACCATAGGAGGTCCACTGTTGGGGGCAGCTCTTATGACCGCCAACAGCCGACCTGCAGAAGACATTGAAAAGAAAGGAAAAAGAAGGCAAGCAACTCAGCGAGGAACTACTTGTTGAACATTAAGTGAAGAAGGTTGGATAACCACAGAAAAAAAATAAGAAAAAACTCGAACAAACCCCAAGGCCACAGTGTGTGTGTCTGGGTACATGGCTCTGTTTCCCAGCCACTATGTGAGCCCCGTGCGGGAATTAGCGGATGACCCCCCTGGCTACCCCCTCAGCAACCCCGTCTCAGGAGGCAGGGGTCTGGCCTGATCCTTTTTTTGTGTCTATTACTTGTACTTGATTCCTGCTTGCCGATGATGAGCAACCCGTCCGATGGCCCCCAGAATAGAAGGGGCTGAGTGTTTTTTTTCTTTTTTCTTTTTTTTTTCCAAAAAAAGAAGATAAGTATCAAACCCACGACCTCCTGTGTGCTCAACCAACTGCGCTAGCTCGCTTGGGTTTCCAGCAGCCTCCTGGGGTATACTTTGGGTTGGGTTCACCAGCGGAGAGATGATTGACTTGGGCCTCCTGGCTGGTTGTGGAAGCGATTGTGGCTCTCTTTCCAGCCTATGACAGGTGTTAGGAGCGTGGGTGCTGCTCCCCGCACAGAGCAGAATGAGGCCGGTATGAACCCATAACGTTTGGGGCCGCCCAAGATTGTGTGCATAGATAGGCTTCAATGAAAAATGTAACTGCACAAGGACTAGATAGGTAGGTAGGCAAGAGATATGATGAGAAAAAGGGTAGGGCTGGCAGGCTTTCTTTCCAACAAAAAAAAAAAGAAAAAAAAGAAGAAAAGTAGCGAGACAAGGATGGCAAAGCCCCAAAGGTCAAAGTCTGAGGAGTTGTCTTGTGATATGAAAAAAAAAACAAAAAGCAAAAAAGAAATATTACCTCCCAAGTAAACACGTTTGCCATTGTTTCGCACCAAGATGTTCTCACCACGTGCACCATCCATACCCCCGGCCATTCCGCGTGGAGCAAGAACTCTCCGCTCGGAAAGGATGCTTGCCTGCAAGTTTGTCGGCAAGGGTACCAATGTTAGCTCAACAGCAACTGGCGTCACCTCTTTAGTTCAACAGCAACTAAACCGCATCAAATGATGCCAACGGTAAAAAAATAGCAGCAAGTAGCCAGTTTAGGAGTGGCTGCCTCTTGAAATCCATATTGCCAAGGCTGTGCAGCATCCATATAAGCAATCGGAAATAACCATTCGTTTCCATTTTGTATTGTATGTTCTCATTTTGTTGATGGGCCCGTAAGAGGCCGCGGGCTGCTTCACAAGTAGTGTACAGAGGCAAGCAACACACGGGCTGCTTCACAAGTAGAGTACAGAGGCAACCAACAAAGGACTTGTACAACATCTCTTCCTTCGCTGTTTTTGTTCTTTCTTTGCGGTTTGAGACTGACCATTCATGACACTTTCATTTCATGCACACCACAGGTCACACACACACACACACACACACACCAGTCAAATGAATCTGAGTGGTGTATTGAGTGGAAGGGTTGAGTTTCCGTAACTCTGTATTACGGAATGGTGTAGGGGAAGATGTTGTACGCCACGATATTAATGCTCAAGGCATCTTCTTCTACTTTTTGGTTCCGTTGTGTTTAATCATTCTCATTTAATCATTCTCACGGACTGTCGGGGTTCAACCTCCTGATGAGACGGTGAAAGTCCAATGAAACAGTCTGGCACAGACATGCTTTTTTTGAGTGTATAGCGAATATGACAACACACACATACCAAAGCACGTCTGAGATGTGACTCTAGAGAGTATCCGCAAATCAAATCGTCTTTCTACATGAGGTGCAGATATCGCCGCCATGAAGTTCTCTCAGGTATGGTTGCTCTCTCCCTCAACCTTACTGCTCTCCCTCACTCAGGCCAAGATCTCATCTCTCCGACTACCTCTCTCTCTGTCCCCCTTGCACCCACTCAATCTTGAACTAAACCTCGCTATGGCGCCCAGTGCCTGTGGACTACCTACAACCAACAAGTAGCAGTTCACTTCGTCATATTCAAGAATAGCGCAGCACCACTTCCACATGGGCAAGTGAATACACGGTTGACGAGTTCCACTACAGGACTTCTGTACATGACGATTCGCCTCACGAACTCCTGAGACCGGTTATGGGTCCAGTACCCTGCCAATGTTTGTCGCTTATGGAAGTTTGTGGGCTTTTCTGGAACTTTGGCACCGACTGGATTTGACGGACAAAAAAGGCCTCAACAACGTGTGCAGACTTTTTCTGACCCCTCTACTGGTAGCTATGGGATTGTCCTACCGCAGGTACTGACATTAACCTGCCTAGGGATTCATGAATATGCACACGCGACTGGGGCTGACAATGGGGACCGGGATCTGGGACTGGAACTCGGACTGGTATTGGGACTGAAATTGGACCAGGAACTGGGACTGAAATTGGCACTGGAAGTCTGGAAGGGTATTTTCCTACAGCGAGTACAACATTAACCTAGCTAGGAATTCGTGAATAATGTACACGTGACTGGAGGAGCTGGGAACTGGGAACTGGGAACTGGGAACTGGGACTGGAACTGGTACTGGCAGTGGAACTGGGACTGGAACTGGGACTGGAATTGGGACTGGAACGGGATTTTCCTACCGCAAGTACTAACATTAACCTACCTAGGGATTCGTGAATAATGTGCGTGCAACTGGGGCTGACAATGAGCCTGGGATCTGGGACTGGAACTGGGATCTGGGACTGGAGCTGGGACTGGAACTGGGACTAGAACTGGGACTGGAATTTGGACTGGAACTGGGACTGGAACTGGGACTGGAACTGGAACTGGGACTGGAACTGGGACTGGGACTGGGACTGGGAGTGGTACTGGGACTGGTACTGTGACTAGGGACTCGGACTGGAATTGGGACTAGGACTGGGACGAGGGCTGCAGCGGTGAAACCCTTTCATCTGCTGAGCAGTTGTGGAAGACGCTCATGGGCATGGCTGCTGTCGATTGCAAGGGAACATCAGGCTGGTTCATCCTCTCAACGTACACGTGTGTATGGCAAGGCCAGGAACCTTCAAACCCCAGTGGAGCAGCTGTCTACTCTATGCTGCAGTTAGGGTCGGTGTCTACTCAGTGGCTTACAGGGTTTTCGGCACTGGCCCTATTTGCAACATTGAAGCGAGATTCTACTCACTGTAATGGAAGTCTCGGACGAAAAAGATACTCTTGCTCCAATAAATAGGACCAGTGTTCAGTGCTTGTGGAACAGAGATAAGTTGATAACACTATTTACTTTAGCTTCTGAGATTCCCCTTGCATTATCTCAAGCCTTCAGATTCTCTACGATATATCCCCAACTGAAACGGTGGACTGGCAAGATTACCCAATCCATAACCTCCATGACTCATCCCCTAATAGATCATTGGAAAGTTAAAATACACCAGTTCAGACGACTTTAAGTTCATGAACCAACCCCCAATGCCTGCCCAGCCTGAAACGACACTCTAATTTTCCATGGGCCAAACCATTTTTCGTTTATTTCTTCCCCCCTCCCCCCCTTGACACAGAGTCACCTAAAGAACATACCTGACTGTTTTCAAAACGTTTTGACACTGGACATAAGAATTAAAAATAGTGGCCTTTGGTGGGACATCCGTTAAAATTGGAACGACACAGAGAAGATTAGCATGACCCCTGCGCGAGGAAGACACGCATAAATCGAGAAATGGTAAAAAAAAATAAAAATAAAAAAATGCCACAGTCGGGGTACTCGGATTTTCGCACAGCCCCCCCCGTACCCCCCCCCCCCCCCCTTTGGGCTGGTAGGTAGAAGCAGTTGAAGCGGCGTCCTCTTATGGCGTACGGTAAGAGGCCAGCTGAGGTTCAACCTTTTTTTTTTTGAAAACCACACTGCCACCCTAGGAGGGGTGATATGAGCACCCCCTCCTAGCGGGCTGCCTGATTGCTCCAATCTATTGGTGGGAAGCAGCACCTGCTGGAAAACGGGTCCCGCGTCCCACTGAATATCTCAAGGCTGAATTTCACTGTGTCTCCTGCCAGCATTGGTTGCCCGTGTTACCGGGGATTGACTGTGTAGGCACTGCCCAACATAACCAAATAACACGGTACTATGCCTGCCTAACATAATCAAGATGCTATAGGCGGGTAGCCACTCCATCTTACTCCATCTTTGTCTCCTCAGTGACCCTGCCCTTCCTTTTCCAGTCCTGCGTTCGTTGCTCTGCCCAGCGGTACTCCAACTCATTGCCCAGTGTTCCTCGAGGCGCTGCATGTTGACATTCACTTACTCTGCACCATACCATTGCATGTCCACCATAGACAGTTGATGGGGCGGGAAAGGGTCCGGGAACTCTGAAGGTGAGCGCACCAGTACTCCGTGGTCCACCTTGGCCCATTCCTTGAAGCAGATGCAGTAATCCCTCCTGAAGTCCTCCTGCTCCTGCCCCGGTGATTGGCCACCCTCCCATCGGATATATACGCAATCCAGCCCCCCTTTTCGCTGCACAGCCAGTCCTCTGAGAATTGATTGATTGCTTGTGTAATATCTTTGTTTAAATGATATAACTCCAGTTGGTTTTTGACCTTCTGCCACCGTGAGAGGAGCTCTTGATGTATAAACTGTTTTATTATTTCTGTTACCTCCTCTCCATCTATCTGAACTCCCTTAATGGTGTGTGTCCAATGTTTCCTCCAGAGTGCCCAGATAACCGCTCTCCTCACAATCTTGAACATATTGTTTTCAAAAGCACTGTCCGTGTGGGAGGTCCATGCCTCGCAGAGCAGCGCCCTCCAGTCCCATTCCCAGGTCGATCCGGTTCCCCAAAGGCTCCATATCCTATCCCACCAATGCCAAGTGAGGACCGCCCCTGGGCACTGTAGGAAGATGTGTTCTAAAGTTTCCGGGATCTTACGGGAGGGGAAGGTGTTATGGCAGGATTTACACCAGGGAAGTGCCACACCCATTTGTTTCAGGTACGTACGATCCACCAACCAGTTATTAGTAGGAAGGCAACGGTGCTCTATCTGCCACTGCAGCGAGGAGAACTTTGTCGGTTTAGACCTAACTGGTGGTTTGATTGCATTCATTATCTACTCTATTATCACTTGAGAAGTGATAAGCAGAAGAGTAATGGGTCGCTGATGCAACCTCATGCTGCAAGGCTGTACTATTCTCTATAAGACAGACTGTAGAAGGGATCCCAAAGACACGACAGGCGATTGTGGGTAGTGCACAGTATGGTAACGGGTGAATCAGGTGATCTCGGAACGGGAAGCTTGAGTTCTCAGAGAGTGAAACGTGTGGGTCGATTGGAGCACGAGTATTTAAGGTAGTAGTAAGGAGTGGATGTCGCCTGAGTGGACGAGGCAGAAGGACGGGTGATTGTCGATCACTTCAGTTGACCACATTATGTCCTCCTCGAGAGTAAAGCCTTCACATGATGTGCTTTCTTGTGACATGAAACGTGATTTTACTTTTTCGTTCTCTTTTCTAAGCAACTGGGACTCAAGCACAAGTATTGAAGGTAGTAGTAAGGAGTGGATGTCTCCTGAGTGGACGAGGCAGAAGGACGGGTGATCGTCGATCACTTCAGTCCTTTACTCAACCACATTATGTCCTCCACGAGAGTGAAGCCTCACACGATGTGCTTCTTTATGACATGAAACATGATTTTACTTTTACGTTCTCTTTGTAAGCAACTGGGACTCGAACTGCTGCTCTTATCTTCCACCTTTGTTTGAGTGCGCCTTATCCGAGTTACCCCTACTATATTGAATGGAGTTGCGCTCAGACCCTCAGAGTTGAAGCCCTGCATTTGTTGCTTAGACGAGTGATTGTACCATCAAATCCCAGTGATATATCTAAACAACTAGGAGATTGCAAGCTGACCTGGTAACATAGTTCAAAACACCAAGAATCCTGAACTCCATTGCAGCACACATTCATGAGCTGAGTACCATCTGGCTAACGGTTTCACTGCTGTGCTGAGTGAAACACCAATCAAGGAGAGGGGCATATATCTAAACAACTTGGAGATAAATGCAAGCTGACCTGGCAACATAGAACAAAGTACCAAGAATCTGGACTTGACCATCTGGCTGACGGTTTCACTGCTGTGATGAGTGAAACACCAATCAAGGAGAGGGCCAAGCTGTTCGAGGCTCAATGTTACACCGCAGCGAGTTATGAATGCACCATACTGGCAAGATCAAACAGCGCAGCGAGTTATGAATGCACCATACTGGCAAGATCAAACAGCTCCTTTTTCTTTTTCTTTTTTTTAAGATCAAACAGCGCAATTCTCTTGAATTCTGTAGTATTCTATTATTATTTTATTGGGATAATTCGCAAAATACCCCCATAAGTTGAGATACATGCCAAAATGCCCCTAAAGGACGTGGGTAGAGCGGAATGCCCCTCTGACAAAAAAAGGTATTTTGTGACATACCCCTGGTGTCGGGGGGGTCCCAGTCTTTGCAATATACCCCTACCGGGTACCAGTCCAACTTTGCAAAATGCCCCAGTATTGCCAACTTTTCCTAGGCGCTATTGCAAAAGGCCAAGGCCCAAACGAGGAGGGCTAGATTGCAGAGTTGCACACCCGCCTGACAGGGGCACAACGCAAAGATTTCGGCCCAAAACGGCATTCCCCTCTACCCGCAATGGTCCCGCATCTTTCAGGGGCATTTTGGCATAGGTATTTTGCAAATTATCCCTATCTTATTTCATAAAATAAAAAACCATCAAGCTCCCTCCAGCCTAGCACATTCCTAGTTGACTGGTCTCCCCACCTTTCTTCCGTTTTTTTTTATTTTTTTTATATTTTTGGACCATTTCTTGATTTATGTGTGTCATCCTTGCGCAGGGGCCATGCTAATCTTCTCTGTATCGTTCCAATTTTAACGGATGTCTAGAAGGACTCCTTTCGATTTTCAGAGGTATAACACAAACCCTAAGCCATACTGGAGTCTTCAGACACAACACAAGTGAACAGTGGGCCTCTCTCTGCTACTCTCCACGTACAAAGAAGACAAAAAAAAATGGCAGTGCATCTTTCCATGTTCTAGCGGAAGATTCAGCGATGGACCCCACTGCCACGCAGAAAGTTTTGGAAGAGTTTTTTTGAGACTCCGCTGCGTGCCGGGAAATTTGAGCAAACTATTGCGTTGTTGCTTCTACTCTTCCTATTTTCCCTTTTTTTTTCTCTTTTCTCCCGTCGCTTTCTAGGCATTCCATCCAATCCCAATGCCTCCTTTCCCCACGGGATGGCTCAACCGAGAGAGTAGCCCCCC